TGGTGGGGGGGTGCTGTTGGGCCCGGTACCCGGGGGGGGGGGGTGCCGCCTAGCTCTCTCTCTGGCTTATGAAATAAACTTAGGGGACAAAAAGAAGAGGACAGGGCTGAGTCCCGGCTTTGACACATATCTCAAAGATCTAGAAAAATGGCAGAAGAGCCTCTGTCCTGCTGGTCTGGCCTCACTGAGAGCCTTGGCCCACACCAGGCACCAGGACACAGCAGGATGCAAGCCTGGCTGAGTGTGCAGTCCTAACCCCACACAGATGCCTTGGAGGACACTCAGGAGTCAGGAACAGGACCCAGCCGTGGAGGCCTGGCCCAGCTGTAGTAGTGCACACCTGTAGTTCTGGGGAGCCCAAGGCTGAGGCAGGAGGTCCACAGGGGAGGAGTGTGCCCTGCAGCACAGCAGTGAGGAGCTGTGCAGAGGGACGCTAGCTCCTACCTGGCTGACCAGGGTTGGGATCTTGGCCCTCAACTTCCCAGCAGCTGCTGCCCAGGGTCCTGATGAGACAGAGAACTTAGGAGGAGGACTGCAGTGGGGCCAGGATCACCGGGGTTCTACCCCTCACTCTTGTACGCATGTGCACACCCTCTGGCATTAAAAACAAATACTAAAAAGGAAAAAGAGAGTAACAGTTCACAGCCAGAATGTGAAGGCTTTCAAAAAAGTTACCAGGACTGACTGTGTTACCACCAGCTGCCCAGCAGCCCGGGCATGGCCGACTGCCGTGTGAAGAGCCAGGAATGGGGGCACCTCTGGCCCCAGCCACGGGGCAGCTGAGGCAGAAGGACTGTGGCCGAGACATACACACGCGCGCACATACAGGTACACGCACACACACAGGTGCGTGCACACACAGGGGCATGCACACACACATGCACACAAGGGAATCCGAGTCTTCTTTCCCTTCAGTCTCCTCTCCTTTGTGCATGCTCATAATCCCTTCTCCTCCACTCCCCTCTCGGGTTCTGGGGGAGTCCACACACACCCAGTGTGTTCCCAAGCTGCTGGGTCCAGGACTGGAGCCGCGTGGTCAGCTGGGCAGGACCCGGACACCGTATCACCAGCCACCTAGGTGTGCAGAGGTCTATTATCTGACTCTTTCTTTTTCCTTTTAAATTTGCTATAGCTCACGCGTACTTGCTGGAGAGAGAAAAAGTGAGAAAGCACCCTTAGGAAGCGTGGCCACGCCACAAACCCTTCTCCACTCTCCTCTCGGAATACACACACACGCCTGGTGTCTCACGTCACTGGCCTGGGACTGGAGCTGTGCAGACCCAGCTGCCCTCACCACCATGGCTGGCCCCTCTCTTATCCTGGTTTTTAAAATTTTTTTTTAATTTTATTTATTTATTTATTTATTATTATTATTTAATCTGACCAGAGAGATTCAGAGAGAGAGAAGGAGAGTGAGAAAGCAAGTCACCAGGTCCAGGACTTGAACCACAGTCGGCCATGTGGGAGTCCAGCACCTTAACCACCACACCACCTGCTGGCCCCCTTATCCTAACTGTTGAAAGAGAAATCCTTGAAAAATTAAGCTGATACATGGAGAAACAGATTTTTTTAAAAAATGTAATTACTATTTTTATTTGCTATAGCAAATAAGCACTTACCAGAGACAGAGAAAGGAGAGGAGAGAGGAGGGGAAAGAGAGAACAAGCTGCCCCCCACTCCGGTGCACACGTGCTTTCTGGAAAACTAAAAAACTTTACGATAAATTTAAAAAGCCATCAAGAGGAGTAAAATATTCATTGGCTGCTTGAAGAACACATGAAAGGCCAAGAGTTGGTATAGTGGTTACGGTCCTGGACTCCCACGCGGCCAACTGTGCTTTGAGTCCAAGACCTGGTGGCTTGAAACTCACGCCCGGCATGTGTGCGTGAATGCCCAAAATCTCGAGAGGAGAGTGGACTGCAGCATGGCCATCACCATGGGTGTGACTTCTCACTCTCTCTCTGTAGCAAAAATCTGTCTAAAAAAAAATTTAAAAAGAACAGAGGAGAGGGAGCCAGGTGATTAAGGTGCCTGGATTCCACATGGCTAACTATGTGGTTCTGGTCTGGATGTGGTTCTAGTCTTAGACCCAGAGGTTTGAAAAACACTAGGTGCATGCAAGCACATGCCCAAAATTCCAATAGGAGAATGAAGAAGGGATTGTGGTATGGCCAATCCCCTTGGGGGGTATTTTTTCCATATTCTCTCTCTTTCTCTCTCTTTCTCTCTCTCTCTGTCTCTGGTGAGCACATGTGCCTTATAGCAAAAAAAAAAAACTTAAAAAAAAAGAGAGAAATACTTTTGATTTAAGAAACTGAGGAAGACTATGCAGAGATGGACAAGCTGGAGACATTGGAAACGTCATGAGACAGGCACTTCCAGGGTTCCAGACTTGGCAAAAATGAAAACCCAAAACAAGAGCAAAAAAAAAACAAAAACAAAACAGGAAGTCAAATTAAATCTGAATGTTATAAAAATCATGAAAAACAATTTACTATGGGGCCCGGCAGGTGGGTTATGATTGAGGCACTGGACTCCCCACATGGCTGACTGTGTGGTTTGGGTCTTGGACCTGGCAGCTTGAAACTCACACCAGGCTCCTGTGCGTGCATGCCAGAAATCCCAAGAAGAGAACGGAGAAGGGTTTGTTGCACACCCAATCCTCCAGGGCGTAATTTCTGGCTTTCGGTCTCTCTGCATCTCTCTCTGGGAAGCACATGTACCCTACTGCAAACCCTCAACAACAGTTAGTATGTTGTAACCACAAAGGGTGACCTCCTGTATCTGAAATTCAAATGCATTTGGTGTCCTGGACTTCCCAGCAGTCCCACCTACACCACTCACAGGAGTCTGAGAACAGCCCGGTGCGACCACACGCTCACCTGCATCGTCACTAGTCTGTCGTCCACCATCACCTCCTTGGTCAGGAAGTCGGCCCCGATGGTGGCTTTGTACTGGTTGCTGAACTTCTTGTTCACGTACTGGTTCATGAGTGAGGTCTTCCCAACTCTGTGGAAGGAGACACAGGAGCGTGGGTCAGAGGGAGGGCCGAGGCCAACTCTGACACCTGCAGCTTTAAGAGGAGCCTGCTGGCCCACATTCGTGGGTAGCCTAGGCAACAGCGCTAGACCCCGCCTAATGAATTCATTAAAGCAAGCAAGCGGGTGGGAGGGGTCTGTCTTGAAGGAGGACAAGGAACACCTTCAGGACAGGAGACAGTGCCAGCACCGCTGTGCACACCCCAGCTCGCACGAGGACTGTGGGGTGAGCCAGGACACAGGTGCCGCCAAGGCGGGGCCCTGTCCCACTGCTTCCCTCCAGGTGTGGAATGAGGCCACCCTACTTCCCACACCACGGCAGCACTGCCCCACAAGCCGCTTGTACTCAGCTGCTGGCAGTGAGCAGACACCCCCGCCCAGCCAACCTGCGGCCCCAGCCTGAGCCCGGTGCAGAGAAGCACTGACAGGCCACCTGCCCAGAATCCACCTCAAAAAGCGTTCCTGAGGGCGGTCCCAGAAAGAAGCCACGTGTCTTTTCCCTACCAGGGCGGCTATAGACAAGGCCACCCTCGCGCTCGCGTGCACTGCCCTGGGAGGGCCTGAGGCAGCGCGGTCCTCCGCACCCCGGGGCCTGGACTCTCGTGAGGTACGAGGAGACCCGCTGGGAGAGGCGAGCTCACACAGGTTCCTGATCGAGGCTAAGCCACTACCAGAGAAAAGCTGTTAGTTGTTTGTTTCTTTTTTTTTTGTTTTGGTGTTTGCCATAGGGCACCTGTACTCACCAGAGACCGTGAGAGGGCAAATGAGAGATCGCCCCAGAAGCACGACCACGCTCCAATCCCTTCTCTAGTATTTTCTGGGCACACACACACGTGCTGGTGTCACTCTAAGCCACCAGGCCTAGGACTCCAACCGTGGTCAGCCGTGTGGGAGTCCAGGACATTAACCACCATGCCACCTGCTGGCCCTAGCCCCTGGTTTTTAAAGGAAGGGCATGGGGCTCGAGTGAAGAAGCTTACCTGCCTTACTAGGCTGCTATTTAAAAGCTCCCAGATCAGGACCAGCAGGTGGCATAACGGTTATGTCACTGGACTCCCACGTAGTCGACCATGGTTCAAGTCCCCGACCTGGCGACTTAAAACTCATGCCAAGTACGTGTGTGTCCATGTCCAGGATCCCGAGAAAATGAAGAAGGGATTGCAGTGTGGACTCCCAGGGGGTGATTTCTCGCTTTCTCTCTGGTGAGTGCACATGCCCTGTAGCTCCCAGACCATCAACCTTGGCTTTCCTGGGGCCTCACAGGATCATAGAAAGAGGGGCAGCTCTCCTCTCCCAGGCTCTGCCCAACTCAGGGCTGGCCAAGCCCAGGAGGCGCCGTGCAGTGCCCTCACACCCTTGCGGGCTGAGCACCCCGTATATGCAGCAGGGTGACTGTATGTGGCCAGGCTGGGACAAAGGGCTCTGAGAGAGCGACCACTAGCTGGGCTTGAATATCGGCCTGTCTCCAGGAGAAGGGGAGAACTCTCTCTGGGAAGCACATGTACCCTACTGCAAACCCTCAACAACAGTTAGTATGTTGTAACCACAAAGGGTGACCTCCTGTATCTGAAATTCAAATGCATTTGGTGTCCTGGACTTCCCAGCAGTCCCACCTACACCACTCACAGGAGTCTGAGAACAGCCCGGTGCGACCACACGCTCACCTGCATCGTCACTAGTCTGTCGTCCACCATCACCTCCTTGGTCAGGAAGTCGGCCCCGATGGTGGCTTTGTACTGGTTGCTGAACTTCTTGTTCACGTACTGGTTCATGAGTGAGGTCTTCCCAACTCTGTGGAAGGAGACACAGGAGCGTGGGTCAGAGGGAGGGCCGAGGCCAACTCTGACACCTGCAGCTTTAAGAGGAGCCTGCTGGCCCACATTCGTGGGTAGCCTAGGCAACAGCGCTAGACCCCGCCTAATGAATTCATTAAAGCAAGCAAGCGGGTGGGAGGGGTCTGTCTTGAAGGAGGACAAGGAACACCTTCAGGACAGGAGACAGTGCCAGCACCGCTGTGCACACCCCAGCTCGCACGAGGACTGTGGGGTGAGCCAGGACACAGGTGCCGCCAAGGCGGGGCCCTGTCCCACTGCTTCCCTCCAGGTGTGGAAGGAGGCCACCCTACTTCCCACACCACGGCAGCACTGCCCCACAAGCCGCTTGTACTCAGCTGCTGGCAGTGAGCAGACACCCCCGCCCAGCCAACCTGCGGCCCCAGCCTGAGCCCGGTGCAGAGAAGCACTGACAGGCCACCTGCCCAGAATCCACCTCAAAAAGCGTTCCTGAGGGCGGTCCCAGAAAGAAGCCACGTGTCTTTTCCCTACCAGGGCGGCTATAGACAAGGCCACCCTCGCGCTCGCGTGCACTGCCCTGGGAGGGCCTGAGGCAGCGCGGTCCTCCGCACCCCGGGGCCTGGACTCTCGTGAGGTACGAGGAGACCCGCTGGGAGAGGCGAGCTCACACAGGTTCCTGATCGAGGCTAAGCCACTACCAGAGAAAAGCTGTTAGTTGTTTGTTTCTTTTTTTTTTGTTTTGGTGTTTGCCATAGGGCACCTGTACTCACCAGAGACCGTGAGAGGGCAAATGAGAGATCGCCCCAGAAGCACGACCACGCTCCAATCCCTTCTCTAGTATTTTCTGGGCACACACACACGTGCTGGTGTCACTCTAAGCCACCAGGCCTAGGACTCCAACCGTGGTCAGCCGTGTGGGAGTCCAGGACATTAACCACCATGCCACCTGCTGGCCCTAGCCCCTGGTTTTTAAAGGAAGGGCATGGGGCTCGAGTGAAGAAGCTTACCTGCCTTACTAGGCTGCTATTTAAAAGCTCCCAGATCAGGACCAGCAGGTGGCATAACGGTTATGTCACTGGACTCCCACGTAGTCGACCATGGTTCAAGTCCCCGACCTGGCGACTTAAAACTCATGCCAAGTACGTGTGTGTCCATGTCCAGGATCCCGAGAAAATGAAGAAGGGATTGCAGTGTGGACTCCCAGGGGGTGATTTCTCGCTTTCTCTCTGGTGAGTGCACATGCCCTGTAGCTCCCAGACCATCAACCTTGGCTTTCCTGGGGCCTCACAGGATCATAGAAAGAGGGGCAGCTCTCCTCTCCCAGGCTCTGCCCAACTCAGGGCTGGCCAAGCCCAGGAGGCGCCGTGCAGTGCCCTCACACCCTTGCGGGCTGAGCACCCCGTATATGCAGCAGGGTGACTGTATGTGGCCAGGCTGGCACAAAGGGCTCTGAGAGAGCGACCACTAGCTGGGCTTGAATATCGGCCTGTCTCCAGGAGAAGGGGAGAAGGGGTCACTCAAGTGCCTGCCGTGGCCTGTGGCCCGTGGCCAAGCCACAAGGAAGCTGACAGGAGACGCCCGCGTGGCCGCCCTGGGAACACTCACCCGGAGTCCCCCAGGATGATGACCTTGAGCAGCACTTTCTTCCTGGAGGTCATCCTGCAGACTGGAGGGGGAGAGAGAGTTAGTGTGCTGGAGGGGACCAGGGTCACTTAGAACTGCAGACCTAAGAGGCAGCCAGACAGAGGACAGGGAGGCCCCTGCGCTGGGCAGGGCTCTGAGGAGGGCACCTGCCCAGCAGGAAGGAGTGCTGGCCTCCAGCTCAGCCCCCTCGCTGCCCCTGTGCAGCAGTGCTGAGCGGAGCCACCAACGCTGCCCACAGGGCCCTCAACGGAGCTAGCCAAAGGCTCCTTCTTCCAGAACACCTTCTGCAGCCCTCCCACCTGCCGGACCAGGATGCACTGCGGGCCCCTCTCCTGTGTAAGTGGCACATCCGAAATGGCAAGGCGGCTTCCAGAGAGCGAGGGGCACCCCAGGCCAGGCCTGCACATGCAGCCGAGCTCAGGTTCCGGTCTCACCTGGCTATGCCACTGTGCTAGCTGCGAGACCATCTCTGATGGACAAGGCTACAGAAATCATTCTTACTCATAGGGTGAAAGGGCAAGTGTGAAGTCACCCCCCCAGGGGTGGCCACACTGCAACCCCCTCACCTCCATTCTCCTCCTCCCAGGATTTTAGGCCACCGTCCTGGGAGCACCTGCCACCCTAACCCTGACCCCACCTGTCTTTCTGGCTAGCACACATGCCTTCTGGCAATCAAAAGGAAAAGAGGGGTCAGCAGGTGGCATGGTGGTTAGGGTGCTAGATTCCCACATGGCTGAGTCCTGGACCTGGCAACCTGAAAATCACACCAGGTGCATGCGCACATGCCCAAAACCCCAAGGGGGGACTGTGGCATGGCCATCCCCCAGGGGGTGAGTTTTCCCTTTCCTTGAAAATCACACCGGGTACATGTGTGCACATGCCCAATATCCCAAGGAGGGGGGGACTGTGGCATGGCCATCCCCCAGGGGGTGAGTTTTCGCGTTCCCTCTCAGTAACTGTCTCTCTCCTCTCTAGCAAGTGCACATGCCCTCTGGCAAAAACTTGAAAAGAAAGAGAAGAGATGGCGGTGGCACAGCGGTTAAGATGGCTGCACCCACATGGACGTACAGTTCAAGTTCTGGACCCAGCAGCCTTTTTGCGGAAGTTTTGTTTTTTAAAGGAACGGGTGAAGATTCCATCCCTTCTCTAGTATTTTCTGGGCACACACACACGTGCTGGTGTCACTCTAAGCCACCAGGCCTAGGACTCCAACCGTGGTCAGCCGTGTGGGAGTCCAGGACATTAACCACCATGCCACCTGCTGGCCCTAGCCCCTGGTTTTTAAAGGAAGGGCATGGGGCTCGAGTGAAGAAGCTTACCTGCCTTACTAGGCTGCTATTTAAAAGCTCCCAGATCAGGACCAGCAGGTGGCATAACGGTTATGTCACTGGACTCCCACGTAGTCGACCATGGTTCAAGTCCCCGACCTGGCGACTTAAAACTCATGCCAAGTACGTGTGTGTCCATGTCCAGGATCCCGAGAAAATGAAGAAGGGATTGCAGTGTGGACTCCCAGGGGGTGATTTCTCGCTTTCTCTCTGGTGAGTGCACATGCCCTGTAGCTCCCAGACCATCAACCTTGGCTTTCCTGGGGCCTCACAGGATCATAGAAAGAGGGGCAGCTCTCCTCTCCCAGGCTCTGCCCAACTCAGGGCTGGCCAAGCCCAGGAGGCGCCGTGCAGTGCCCTCACACCCTTGCGGGCTGAGCACCCCGTATATGCAGCAGGGTGACTGTATGTGGCCAGGCTGGCACAAAGGGCTCTGAGAGAGCGACCACTAGCTGGGCTTGAATATCGGCCTGTCTCCAGGAGAAGGGGAGAAGGGGTCACTCAAGTGCCTGCCGTGGCCTGTGGCCCGTGGCCAAGCCACAAGGAAGCTGACAGGAGACGCCCGCGTGGCCGCCCTGGGAACACTCACCCGGAGTCCCCCAGGATGATGACCTTGAGCAGCACTTTCTTCCTGGAGGTCATCCTGCAGACTGGAGGGGGAGAGAGAGTTAGTGTGCTGGAGGGGACCAGGGTCACTTAGAACTGCAGACCTAAGAGGCAGCCAGACAGAGGACAGGGAGGCCCCTGCGCTGGGCAGGGCTCTGAGGAGGGCACCTGCCCAGCAGGAAGGAGTGCTGGCCTCCAGCTCAGCCCCCTCGCTGCCCCTGTGCAGCAGTGCTGAGCGGAGCCACCAACGCTGCCCACAGGGCCCTCAACGGAGCTAGCCAAAGGCTCCTTCTTCCAGAACACCTTCTGCAGCCCTCCCACCTGCCGGACCAGGATGCACTGCGGGCCCCTCTCCTGTGTAAGTGGCACATCCGAAATGGCAAGGCGGCTTCCAGAGAGCGAGGGGCACCCCAGGCCAGGCCTGCACATGCAGCCGAGCTCAGGTTCCGGTCTCACCTGGCTATGCCACTGTGCTAGCTGCGAGACCATCTCTGATGGACAAGCTACAAAAATCTTCTTCATTTTTTTTTTTTTTTTTTTTGCCATAGGGTGAAAGGGCAAGTGTGAAGTCACCCCCCCAGGGGTGGCCACACTGCAACCCCCTCACCTCCATTCTCCTCCTCCCAGGATTTTAGGCCACCGTCCTGGGAGCACCTGCCACCCTAACCCTGACCCCACCTGTCTTTCTGGCTAGCACACATGCCTTCTGGCAATCAAAAGGAAAAGAGGGGTCAGCAGGTGGCATGGTGGTTAGGGTGCTAGATTCCCACATGGCTGAGTCCTGGACCTGGCAACCTGAAAATCACACCAGGTGCATGCGCACATGCCCAAAACCCCAAGGGGGGACTGTGGCATGGCCATCCCCCAGGGGGTGAGTTTTCCCTTTCCTTGAAAATCACACCGGGTACATGTGTGCACATGCCCAATATCCCAAGGAGGGGGGGACTGTGGCATGGCCATCCCCCAGGGGGTGAGTTTTCGCGTTCCCTCTCAGTAACTGTCTCTCTCCTCTCTAGCAAGTGCACATGCCCTCTGGCAAAAACTTGAAAAGAAAGAGAAGAGATGGCGGTGGCACAGCGGTTAAGATGGCTGCACCCACATGGACGTACAGTTCAAGTTCTGGACCCAGCAGCCTTTTTGCGGAAGTTTTGTTTTTTAAAGGAACGGGTGAAGATTCCATTCAGTGACCCCTCACGGGGGTCAGGCAGGTATCAGTACGGTGCACACCGTGGGGGTGGGGGTGGGGAGCACTGCCCCGGGACGCCCTCGTCATAGGCGCTGGGGCGGAAAGAAAGAGTACCTGTCACAGCACGGTGCTGATGGCAAGGAACGTGCCAAGCCAGCACTGCCAACAGGGAAAGACGCCGCGGAGTGCCTGGAAATACCTCTGTCACAGCTCGAAGGCTCAAGTACTCAAGCCTGCAGACCCACCTTCACAAGGAACTCTGCGGACAGAGCAGTCCGGCAAATGCCAAAAAGATGGCAGGCCACAGCCGGACAGAGCCACAAGCACCATCTCCGGGCTCGGGTCCCCAGGGAGACCTGGGGCTTCAGTCCGGGGGCACACGTGTGGCCCTGGCTGGCCAGGGCCTGAGTGGGGATGTGGTGCGACAAGACTTCTACGAAATAAAGAAATCAACTTTAAAAAAAAGAAAAAAAGAAAAATCAGGGACCAGCAGATGGAGTAACAGCTGCGTCACTGGACTCCCACATAGCTGACCGCAGTTTGAGTCCCGGACCCAGCGGCTCAGAAGTCATGCGGGGCGTATGTGCATACGTGGCCATCCTGTGTGGCCATCCTGGGGGGTGATTTCTTACTGTCTGTCTGTCTCTGTCTTTTCGGAGAGTGCACACGCTCTATGGCAAAAATCTCTTAAAAAAAAAAAATCAAAAACAAACACAATGCAGCCAGCCAAACCCCTGGAAGTGGAAGGCTCTGTTGGGGTGGCCGGCTTGATCTTTTCAAGTTAAAGGTAATGACATAAAAAGGGGCCGGTGGACCTGTGGTAAAAACTGACAGCAAGCAGGAGTCCCAGCGCGACAGCGACAGCGCAGCTCCGGAGCAGACGTGCCTTTCCCAGCAGGGACCTGGCGCGGAGCTGGGCCTCAGGTCCTGTGAGCCGGAGAGCGCCCGCTGCACACCAGGCCTGTCTGCAAGCTGAGGGTCTCAGGGCAGACCATCCCCCAGGCCTGTACTGGACCTGCACAGCACAAAGGCCACAGGGCAGGGACCAAACCCCTGCCCCAGCTCAGCCTCACCGGAGGCTGAGCAAGGCTCCGTGCCAAGGCTTCTTCCCAAGAGTGGCATGTGGGGGACTTTAGCTGTCTTAAAAAATATCTATTACTTGTCCTAATTGCAGTTTTACAATAATGGGTATGTATTACCTTGTAATCGAAAGAAATTTAACCCAAAATAAGGGCCTGGTGTTGATCAAGAATCTCCCCTACCCTGCAGTGAGGAATTAACAAAAAGCTTCCCCAAAAGAGGTCGCCCAATATGCTAAATCCTCAATCCCCTTCCAGACAAAGAACAAAGGCTGGAGTTCTTAAACGTGGAGGAGCCACAGGGTCAGGATCAGTGGGTGACTTGCTCTCCACCTACAGCCTCAGGAGCTAGAACGAGGTGACAGTGGGCCCCTCACTTCATGGCTCTGAAAACATTCCCACATGGGCCTGGATTTCTTCCCCACCTCAGGGCAGCAGGGAGGACTCCCCAGCAAACTTGTGAAGCAGCTGTGAGGCAAGAATGCCACCGGCCTCAGCCTCCCTGAGGTCATGATGGGACACCGGCCCTCACCTAGAGGGTCCGACCACACTGGCGCTGGTGCCACGTGCCTGTAATGTGGCGAGGCGTGGCGTGGCCTCGAGGCTGAGCGCCTGTGCTTCTTTCTCACTGGCCAACCCTACCCACCTTGGGGCTGGCACTCTGAGCAGCTCAGACGTGGTGTTCAGCACACTGCCCACAGAACAAGACTTCCCTACAACTACTCCACCACCTGAACGGCCGCAGAGCCACGCTGCGTGGCCGGGGCAGGGCAGCGGGTGGTCCAGTCCAGCTTCCTTCTGGAGAAGAACGCCAACGCAAGACGGCACCCTTGGCTGAGGACGCCCTGCCGTGTGCCGAGGTAGCATGGAGTTCTGGCC